TCATTTGGTAGCTATTACTCTCCCAAACTTCCAATCCATGCATATGTGCAAGCTTTTAAATCCAAACTCTTAGCACATATGTAGGGGGAGCTAATAATACCAATTTAGGTTGATGAAACTTGTCAATAATCTTTATTTATGGTAATATGCTTGGGCAAGCAACATGAATCAAAAAGGTTTAATTGAATATCTTTGTAAATAGGTTGTCATCGATTACCAAAAAAGGGGAGATTGAAAGCCCTAGTTTGATTTTGGATAATTGATGAAACCTAAGTACTAACCTATGTTATCTAGTGTGATCATGAGCTAGGTTGATACATCCAAGTGTGGAGCAGAGTGGCACTCAAGAGATGGTGATGATCACATGAAATGATGAGATGGCCATATGTGATGATGATCAAGTGCTCAACTTGAAAAAGAAGAAAGAGAAAAACAAAACCCTATGAAGATCAAGGCAAAGGTATAATTAGGGATTTTGTTTCGGTGATCAAGACACTATAGAGAGTGTGATCACATTTAGGGTAGATGGTCGTACTATTAAGAGGGGTTCTTAACTAGACAATTCGGTCATCTAGTGCCTAGGTGTTGGACTTCATGCATTGCATTTAGGCCTAGTGCACAACGGAGAGCATGCAAAAATATTTATTGAAAATGTTTTGATCAATGCTAACTTGGCTCTAACATGTTTTGGGAAAACACTTTGAGGGTTAGCAACGCTTGCAAAGGAGTGTTAGACTGCATGTGAATCGAATCGAGAATCGAAATCGCAACTAACGTTGGTATTTGCCTCGGGTGGTGACCGCCATGGCAGGGGCGGTCCACCGCCCTGGCCTATCCGGTGACCGGCTGGCCGAGGCCGAGAGCAGCTAGTTCGGGGTGGTCATCGCCCTGGGTGCGACGGTGCACCGCCCTGGCTTGTCCGGTGACCAGCTAGCCATGGCCGAGAGCAGCAAGTTGAAGGGTGGCACCGGTGCGTCTGGTGTACACCGCCTCTGTGAGGGCGGTGCACTGCCCGGTCATCGCCCCTGGCAGGGCTGTGTCACCGCCATCCTGTCTGGTGCCCCAACAGCTAGTTTGTGACCATTAAAATTCGACCATTGGGCAGGTCACCACCATGTCCGGTGCCAGGCACCGCCCTGTCCGATGACCTCGCAGAAATAGCTCCAAGGGGTATAACGGCTCTATTTACTTGTGTGGCTATAAATAGAGGGTGTGGCTGGCCTTGGCCACTCTCTTGGCACCTTATACACTTGTGCACACCCTTTGGAAGCTGAGCAACACACTCCACTTATTTGTTCACTTGATTTCATCATCTTGAGTGAGATTGGAGAGCCTCTAGTGCATTGGATTTAGTTGCATTATCTTGTGGCACTAGTTGAGTGATTTGGGCTAGTTGTGAGCTTGTTACTCTTGGTGTTTGCCAACACCTAGATGGCCCGGTGATTGGAGGATCGTTGAGCGGAGGTTGTGATTGTCTCTAGCTTTGATCGGTTACTTATGAGGGGTCTTGTGCCTTCCCTAGCGGAGCGTCAAAGACAACTCTAGTAAATTGCTTGTGTCATTGAGCTACCTCACTTGTGGGTAGGTTCCTGCGGTGTCCAATTATGTGGACGAGGTTCGTGCAACACCTCTTAGCCGCTGAACCACCAAGTGTTGGTCGACACAACGGGGACTAGCGTGCCGGCAAGCACGTGAACATCGGGAGAAAAATCTTGTGTCTCTTGTGTGATTGGATTTCTCCTAGTGATTGGATTGTCTTCATCTTACAATTGGTTCATTCCTCGACGCGGCGGTATAATCACCATACTCACTGTTTTACATTTCTTGCAAACTAGTTGTCAAGCTCTTTAGTGTAATTAATTCTGAGAGCTTGTCTTGCTTGCTAGTCTAGTATCACCTAGTGGAGATCTTTAGTGTAGACTTGTTGAAAGCTCTTAGTGAGTAGTGACATAGCTATTGTTTGTGCCTAGTAATCATAGCAACTAGAATTATTGAATATGTGGCTTGCAACCCTCATAGAGTTAGAGCAAAATTGCATTTCGTCATTTAGGATACTAACCACTTGCTCTACTGTATTCGTAAAAAAAATTTATAGGCTATTCATCCCCTCTAGCTATTTAGGACCTTTCACAACCGCACCTGAAGCATACATACTGACATTTTTTAAAGAACTAAAGAATTATAATGGCCCCATCTTGAATAGTAAGAGTATTTTTTAAATCCACGAGAATTGTAATGACACCAATAAAAAATCCTTTGTTTTTCGCATCATCTAATAATGCTTACACAAACCGTAAAGAATTTGATGAATTTTATAGAAATTCATAAAAACACGGAATTCAGAAAAAAAAACTTTCTACGTAGTTTCTTTGCGAGGATACAACCTAGTGCAGTGTTTGGTTTGCTCTACAATAGCAGAAACGGAAATAATATTAGTCCATATTGAATGACTTACGGTAACATCCGTAGCTTTAAATCCATTACATTTGCATTACCAACGCTTCTACGAAACAGAGTACTAGTGTCTGTTATATTATTATTACACCATTTAAAAAAAATCAAAGTATGGTTGCCAGTCGCGCTTGGGCAAAAAGCCAAGAACAAAGTAAACATAGTGTCGTATGTTTTTCATCAGAATCCCCGATTCTGCTGAGAACTATGACTAAGCAAATCGCTAGATACAAGGTCCGTTACAAAAATCAGGAGATACAGGGCCTGTTACAAAATCAGGAGCTTGACTTAAAAACATAGAAGAGTCAGGGGCTAACATACATGCTCCATGAGAGGCTAGACCATCAGCAGAGACTTTGCAAGAACTAAACTCATATCGATATGGTCTCTAATATGGTGAATTAAGGAATTGATAGTGCTTTTTGTCCCTCCTGTTGAAGACAGGGCTAATGTTAAGGTTGCTAACATCTATCTCTAGAATGATATGCATCATACCAAGATGGCCCCGTTCGCTGGTCTAAAACTTGGCTAAAAAACGCTGTTCTGGCTGGTTTGTTGTGAGATAAAAACACTGTTTGACTGGTTTGGTAAACAATAACTTGAGAGGGGTTCCAGCCGGCTAGCTGGTCTCGATCAGACCAGCGAACGGCCCTGATGTGTTGCATGCTGGATTGCTTGGAGGGCAGCCATTGCTTCAGTTTGTAGAGTAGAGCCCCCATATCTCGTAATATCAGGCCGGATACGAGCATGTCCCCACATGTTTCCCTAATCACAAAGCCCAGCCTCCTGATACAGGCACCATCAATATTTATTTTGTGATTGTCAATAGGTGGTGGCTTCCATGAGCATGGGATAGGTTTTTGTATCAATAATTCTTGGAACCGGACGTCCGTCCGCCCGGACGCTTCTGTTGGTGGGCCACGATGCCAGCCCAAATAACCCTCTCCTATCCACTCGTCACCGTAGTTTCTAAAAAAATCGCAACGGAGCTCGGCCGCGCACAGCTCGTGGCGGCCCGCCGAGGCGGCCTCTGCCTCCGCTCATCTCGTGTTCGCCACCGCGCGAGCTCGTCTCGGCTAGGGCAGAAGCTACCTAGCTCGCCGTAGCTGGGGCGGAGCTCGCCCGCGTGTAGCTCAACGTAGCTCGGGCGGAGCCCGCTCGGCGCCCGCACACATCTCGTGCTCTGTGTGCTCAGCTCGCCGTGGCTAGGGCGAAACTCTCCCGTGCGCAACTTGCAACGGCCAACCTGCCGCGACCTTCTCCACCGGAGCGGCGAGCTCTACACCGGTAAACTCCATACTCAACGAGCCTCTATTCTCCCAAGCAGCAAGGAGGTGTTGCGCTGAAATCGCATGTTGTAAGCATATGTTTCAAGTGTTTCATATGTTTTCAGAGGTATGTTGCCAGTGTTTCACACGCATGTTGCAAAAGTAGATCAGGATGTTGCATATGTTGCAATGGTTGTACACGTATGTTGCAAGCTTCTGTTCCCAATGTTTCACCTGTTTTTCTAGACGTATGTTGCAAGTGTGTTTATTGGATGTTGCAAATGTTTTATACATATGTTGCAAGTGTTTTATTTAGATGTTGCGTATGTTTTATAATGGGTTTTAAGTGTTTTTTCAGGTGTTTCTGCAAGTGCTTCAGATGCATGTTTCAAGTATTTCATCTGTCTTCAGACGTATGTTGTAAGTGTTGGATCTAGATGTTTTCAAAAAGTAGATCGGGTGTTGCATCTCCCTCCTCGCTTTCTGCTGCCTCGCCTCGATGTCTCCTCCTCTTCTCGGCGCCAGCTAGGCATCTATCGCCCCCTCCCCTTCTTCTCTATGCTGGTGACGTTCAGGGTAGTTTGGGCCCCGCGTGGTTTTTGCAAGTGTTTCAGATGTATATTTCAAGTGTTTTATCTATCTTCTGACGTATGTGTGCAAGTGTTGTATCTCAATATTCCAAAAGTAGATCAGTTGTTGCATCTCTCTCCTCGCTTTCTACTGTCTTGCCTCCGTGTCTCCTCCTTCCACTGCCGGCTGGGCATCCGCCGCCCCCTCGCTTTCTTTCTGATGTTGGTGACGTTCGAGCGACGCGGTTCCCACGTGGACGCGTGAAACGGCACGAAAAACTGTAGGCGCGTGTATCCGAACGCCCCATCCATCTGGATATCCGGCGCTAGCAAGCCCGTTTTTGTATTGACGAATAGTCACAAAACCACCTTTAAAATTAGGTATGGAGATAATTTGAATTGTTTTGAGAGTTAGGAGGATGTCTGTTTTGGACAAGGAAAATCAGACTGCAAAAAAGATAAAATGTGTATCTTATTCGTTTCTATCGAGGGGAACATAAATGGGCCGGTCAGTAGGAAATAAACGTTGTCGTGAATTCGGCCCGGCGCCTGTACAAAGGCGACTTATCGTTGGGCCCAAGTTAATTAGTTAGGCCCACACGCACACGGTACCGGTTCTTTTCGCGTTGCACGGCGGCGCAGACCGTGAGTCATCGGGTTCGAGCGGGCTACGGCGACGGCGGCGCACCGACCGCCGGCGAGGGGTACAGAGATGAAGACGGTCAGCCTCGGCGCCTCCAGGCCCTCCGCCGTCAACTTCCGCATGTACGCCCCCTCCCTCCCTCCTAATCCTCTTCCATTAGAGAGACGCCTTGGATCGATTGCTGTGGGGGAAAGAGGGCGCGGGTGGCTGATTCGTTCCCCTCTGCCTCCTCCGTGCTGCAGGCCGACGAGGGACAACCTCGTGCCGATACGCGTCGACGTCGAGGTGGACGGCCAGCGCTACAGGGACGCCTTCACCTGGAACCCGCGAGGTACCCGGCCTCCGCTTCTCGTTCCATTCACCTCCAGTTCGCGTCGCGTTCTCGCTCGCTGCCTGGATTGACCCGCTTCTCCCTTGTGCCTGGCCGGCAGATCCCGACTCGGAGATCATCAGCTTCGCCAAGCGGACGGCCAAGGACCTCAAGCTGCCGGCCAATTTCGTTCCCCAGATGCTTCAGTCCATCCAGGTGCCTTTCTTTTCTCTTGCTTGCCTGTCCTGTCCTATCCTATCCTGCAATGTCCTATCCTAAAAGGTGTTCTGTACTGCTAATGGTCGATCGACTGTGGCTGTGTTTAGTTCAAAAAAAACTTTCCCAAAAAGTGCTACAGTAGCGATTACATCGAATCTTGCGATACATGCATAGAGCATTAAATGTAGACGAAAAAAAACTAATTGCACAGTTTGGTTGGAAATCGCGAGACGAACGTTTTGAGCCTAATTAGTCCATGACTGAACACTAATTGCCAAATAAAAACGAAGGTGCTACAGTAGCCAAATTTCCAAATTTCGTGAAATAAACACAACCTGTATTGTTTTTTCGTGTAGGGGCAACTTGCGGAGTTCCGTTCTTACGAGGGGCAGGAGATGCAAATCAAGGAGAAGATTGTGCCTCTCAAGGTTTGTTTTACTGTTCTAGCTAACTTTTGCTCATCAGCAGACTGTTTCTGGACGTGGTGTATTTTTATCCTCAGATGAATGGAGTTTTATGTACTCAAGTGACAGCTTATATATACTGTGAATCCGCAGATTGATCTCCGCGTGAACAACACTGTAATTAGAGACCAGTTCTTATGGGTATGTATGTGTGTGGTTGTGGTTTTCTGTAGTCCTCATGTCTAGTTGATTTGCTTTAACTCCCATCTACACTTGGTGGTCAGGATATCAGCAACCTTGATAGTGACCCTGAAGAATTTGTGAGGACACTGTGCGATGATTTGAACATCACGGATCCTGAAGTTGGGGTATGCCTTATATAATGAAGCTCTGAGTGTTGAGTGCAATGAACTGTTAATTGAACTAAAGCAACAGCTTTTATGTTGATGGTTTTCCATGTCAGCTGGCCTCTGTTGCACATTTCAATTCTCTGAAACTGTTATACATCAATACATGATGGATTACCAGATGAATATTTTTTTCACATTTTCTCTCAACTTGCATTTAACTTTATTGTACTCGCAAGTCATGTAAAATGCTACTATTATTTATTGTTCTTTTTTATTTTTGTGATTTTCCATGGCTGCAGAACTGTGATGGGTTTAGTCATGAATTTGCTGTTTTATGAATATTTCTTGCACTGCAGTTCTTTTTATGTAAAAATTTGTGCAGTATTTATGAAATTTGTTCTATGCTGACGAAGTCTTTTTGTTTGATGTGCAGCCTGCAATAGCTGTTTCCATCCGTGAGCAGCTTTATGAGGTTAGATATAATTTTCTTTGTTAACTCTAGTGTAGTCCGCAATATCATGAAATCACTTTGATGTTCCTTTAGAGGCAGAACGTATAAAGTTTGTCTGTGGTTCCTTCACATATATTGTTAATCTTTTGTTTTGTATAAGGCTTTGTATTTATTGAAAAAATATATTTTGACTTCGCAGATTGCTAGTCAGAGCGTCTCTGTTATGAGAGAGAAGCAAATGTCAAAGAAGGGAAGGCGAGCACCAGAATTTTCTTCAAATAGGTTTGTGGAAGAGTTTACTCTTTTTCTTTCAAAGAAAAATGTAGGGGAATTGGATGCACACAGATGCTAATTAGCATATTCGAGCTAAATGCCATCCTTCCTGTTTTGTTGTTCAATCTGTTATATGAAATTGATCTGGCCATATTTTGCAGTAAAGCCGTGAACAATGCAGTGGATTTGTTCAAGTATTTTGGCAGCAAAGGAAGTGTCATCCGGTATGATCTTTTTCTTCTAAAAACCTTGATGTGTTAATGACTAGTGTAGTTCGGTTTTGATGGTACTGATAGGGAAGTTCTGACTGACAATGTTCACTTTGTGTTTGAATTGAACTAATACGTTACTAGTTTACTGCTGTTTGGTGTTGAAATCGCCTTGATTCTGCTTTTCCTTTTTGGTGTATCAGGAAACGGAAAGAATGGTACCTGTATGAGCCTGTTGTTGACGTTGTAGCTAGTGAGGAAGATGGAAAAGAGGAGGTTAATAATTCTAGCAGATGAGGAAAGAGCTGATTTTGAACATTCATTATCAGAGAAGTCGGTTTGGTAATAGTGGACTAAAAAATATTTTTTTTTACTGAAGCTTAAGCTGTGATTTAATTCACGAACATTTGTACAGCTGAAGGGACAGCATAACGTTTATGTTCTTTTTTCCCCAGGCCGAAGAAGAGAGCAGAAGAAGAGAAAGTTGCAAGTCTTCAGTCCCTTTGATTGATTCAGATGCAGAACTGCAGTCCTGAAGAGGATTGTTGAACAAGATACTGATTGTTCTAACCACGAAGGGTTTTCCTTCCAATCCCAGTTTGTCTTGGGATGATCGAACAAGATGCCTGCCTGACAGTTGTCGTAGGATAGCTATATGTATGTATGCCGTGACTGTTTCTCCCTGATGCTGTGTCGTGGTTAGTGCTGCCTGTCATCAGTCTGAGGACAACTGTCCAGATGTTGTATACTCCTTCAGTCTTCAGTAACATATATTTGCAGTTTTAGTGAAGGTTTCTTGGTCGCCAACACGTGTTCGTGTAGGTTTGCGCGAAGATCTCGAAACACTGTTGTTAAATTCAAATCTATATGGTGTTGCAACAAATTAATTAACAGGCGATAAAACCTCTTATCTTCTATGTAGCACCATGGATCGTAATTAGTGTCCATGAACATTGTGTCTATGAATAACAAATCAAAGGGGGTTTATTTTTCTAGACTTGCTAGTGCCCGGACGTCTAATCTGAGATGCTAGCGCGGACGGTGCCCGCGCAGCAAGCGAGCGAGAGTCCCAGCAGTAGGACCGTGTTGCACCGGACATCACCCATGCCGCAAGACCGCGCGCGGGGACTGCTCGTGCCCTCTCTTGCTTTCCACATGCATCCCATGTGCAATATATCGATCTATTTTTAAAACATTCAGATGCAACACTTGCAACATAAAAAAAAAGACAAAGAAACACTTATAAAAATGCTTGAAAATACTTGAAAATCATTGCAAACGTTCGCAACATCTAGATAAAATATTTACAACATATGTGTGAAATATATGCAACATACGTCTGAAAAATAGATAAAACATTAGGAACATATGCTTGCAACATACATGTAGAACCATTCCAACATATGTAACATCCCGATCTACTTTTGCAACATCCATATAAAACACTTAAAACATACATTTAAAAAAACTGAAACACTTGAAACATAGGCTTGCAACATGTCTCAAAACACCTGAAATACAAACACAGCGCCGCCGGTGGCCATGGCCTATCTGGTGGGGAATTGCGGTGGCGCGGGCCTCGTCTTCCTTCCGAGGACATGAGGTGGATGGGGGCGCAGCATGGGCGCGCGGAGCAAAGCAGGAAGGGAACGGGTGCGCTGCCGCGCTAGAGAAGGCTGCGGCGAGCGGCCCTTGCGATGGAGAAGGTGAGCAGCGCTGTTTTTTTTAAAAGTCGTGAAGCACTTAAGCATGCGGAGTGGAGTGGGGTGCGCGACGACGAGGCTTCCCATCCTTACTTTTTTTTTTACAGAGGAAATAACAAATCATAGGTAGATTCCATACGTGTGGTTGGAGGATGTCATGGTCCAATTCTCAAGCGTAGCTGGCTGGGCTGATAAGTGATAACCGGAGACGCTTGGGACATCGATTGGGCTAGAGGAGCTTGCGGCTCTTGTTTAATTATTTATATGATGCATGTCCATAACTCAAGAAAGAAAGCCTTTGAACTAAAGGACTCTGATGAAATAATCTATAACTAAGTTATACATAATTCAATGAGTATGAAATTTTTACTATAGTTCAAGCATACAATAATTAGACCACCATGAAAAATTCACCACAAGTTGACCATAGAAACTGCAGCTATAAATTAATTATAGAAAATCATAGATCTAAAGTTACAATAAAAAATTTATACTAAAACATACCATATTATGCATTCACTGTGTAGATCTAATCATATGGAGTCCAACAAAATTAGATTCTTCATTTTATGATTTTTCAGTGATTTACTATGATTTTTCAAAGATTCAGCTGAAATAAAAAGAAGAAGAAGGTAAAACCACCTTTGAAAACCGCTTATAATCGTCAGGAAGGTAAAACGAACGGTTTTAAAAGTTTAGGAAGGTGATTTACCCGATTTGAGAGTTCAGAGAGGAAAAACAGACTTTCCCAAAAGTTGAGGGAGGCAATGTGGACTTTTTCCAATGATATATGTTCATAGCCCAGATCATGTCCCAGCTTACGCGCTCTGCATCGCTGGTTAGAGACGGGCTGTATCCTGCCTACTTGTCCAACCTAGGCCCGGCCCTGGAAATGGCTGACCCTGCTTACCTGAAGCTTCTCAAAAAAAAACAAACACACACACAAACGATGCTACTAGCGCCGGGACGTCTGATCCGGATGCTCGCTGCGACATAACATCGAAAAATATCTTTTACAACATTGACGCCATCCCAGTCAGCAGGTCAGCAGCCGAACACCCGTCATCCGCTCAGCAGCTCAACTTTGTTGCGCACAATGTCAACGTGATCTGCAATACTTGCAACATCATCAGTCCGTCACAACATCGAGAAACAATGTCTGCAACATTGAAACATATCTTTTGCAACATAAAAATATATGATGAAAATAACGGCTCAGCTATATCTGATCTCTCGCCGCTACATCGGGGGCATGTTGCATGCACATCGCTGGTCCGTTTGCAACATGGAGGAACAATATAGGTTATGTTCAGGAATGTCTGCGTCTCGAGAACACGAATGTTTTCGTTCCCACGTTATAAAATGATATCCTAAGTTTCGGTTCCTGTTAGGAGACGGAACGAGAACGGGAACATGCTGCTAAGGTGGAGAGGGGCACCGCCGGCGAGCTGCGACCCCGATGCAGTCCGTCGAGGGCATCGACATATGCCTCGCCGCGGCCCCTGAGGCCCTGAGGGCGAGATCGATCCTGTCATGGCCCACCGTGGGCCTGCCTCCTCGGCCACGCGGCGAGCCACGGTTGCGCGTGAGCGTCCCAGCTGGAGCATTACCGAAAAAAAGACAAAAAAAAAGATAGGACTTACCTGAAGGATATTGAGGTCTCGGCCGTCGGATGCAAATCAAACGGCCATCGACCGAAACCCTGGAGACTATTGCCATTCCTCACTCTTCTCCAAGCGGCGGCGCCATTCCTCCTTTTCTCTCTCATGCTCTGCTTCTCCCCGTGCAATGCCAACGCCCGCGAGGGTGGGCAGCCACCGCCGGCGCCACCGTGGTCCCTATCGCCGGCGCTCGCGTGCTTCAAGCCCGCACGCGGTTCCGTCGAGGGGCTCCACTGCGGTGCCCTTGGGGCCGCGGATCCACAAGCACGCGCATACAACAAGCGGCGACGGTAGCGACAGTCCAGCTCACGACCGCCGAGGCTTGCGCGCGTGCCGGGTCTGACTCTGATGGCGCGCACGTGTTGCGTAAGGTCCGGCCGGGTGTGTGTGCGCATGGCAACATTCTGACGTCCGCTCGTGCCGTTAAGGTCAGCTCCGGCCGGCTCAGGGGCGCCGATGGTCCGCGTGCGGCGGCTTCGACTCATGCCGCGGGCGGCTACACTACATGGCGAGTAGAGGTGAGTTTGCTCTACTTCAGGTTAGGGCTAGGTACTTTGGTATTGGGGAAATTTGGGGATTTTTGGGTTTTGCTCTGGTTTTGCCCAATCCTCTCCTTATAATTGCTTATCCGGTCCTAATTGGTGGAAATCACCCTTAATTCCTTTAGATTAGACTTATATAAGCCGAGAACCATGGTGTGATGATACTGTAAAGCACCAACGCTGAGTTCCAATCAGACTGAGGTTTTGAACTAATCATGCACAAAGCCGATATGTCTTAGGGTAAAACCTTACTGATGCATCTCGATATTTCTAATTTGGCATTTAGCATGTGTTTAGTTTTGGAACTATGTAGGTTGGGTTGGAGCCGACCCATTTTTATGGGTCGGAGCTGACCCATCTCATGTTTGGATGGTTGGGTTGGAGCCGACTCAGTCTTTTGTTTGATGGAAGAGGTTGAGAGGGTTGGGATGGAGGTCCTTTTAACACCGTTAGTTCTGGACCCCACCTGTCAGCTGCGGGGCCCACCAGTCAGCCTCTTCTTTTTTTTTTCCTCCCTTCCTCTTCTACCTTCTTCCTCCTCCCCGCACGGCTCCTCTCCTGGCTCCTCCCGCAGGCCCCTGCTCTCCCTCCGACGCGGGCTGCCTCCCCAATTCCTCCCCGACGCCGTGCCGCCTCCGGCTCCACCCGACGCCGGGCGCTGCCTCCCCGACTCCTCCCCGGCACTCCCTCCCCGGCTCCTCCCCGGCCGCTCCCTCCCTCCCGGCCGCCTCCTCGCCGCCTCCACCGGCCGCTCCCTCCCTCCCTCCGTCGGGCGCCGCTCGCTCCCTCCTCGCCGCACCGCGCCAGGCCGCTCCTCCCGCGCATGGACGCGCGCGTGCAACGGACGGACGCAACGTCCGTCGATGCAGGTCGATGCAACGTCCGTCGAGGGCTAAGGGCCAGGGGCTCGTCCCGCGTCGGAGGGCGGGGGCCGGGAGCCGGAGGTCGCACGGAGCTGCGCCATGGCCGAAGCATCCGGACATCACTGGGTGCCGGAGGTCGCCCATGCCGGCGATGGAGAAGCATCCGAGCAATCCGCGTCTGCGCTCGCCAACGGAGATGCAACGACGTCCATCTGGGTCGAGATGATTTCTCCGATTTGGAGGTACCCAACGAGCCCGCATCTAGAGAGAATATACCTTGTGCGGGATGAACCCAACCCACTGATTCCAGAACCAAACAACAGATCATCTGGGACGAACCCAGGATATCTCAGTTGAACCCGCAAACCAAACACATGGTAGTCTAATTTGCATCTAACTCAATCGGATTCAGCGTGTCAGACTTAACAGATTGGATTTGGATTTTGGAAATATTCATCCATAAACCAAGTTAATCTTAGGACCAATCTCAATACAAGCGTGTAAAACCAATCCCTTGATGAAGAACTTGACGTAGATGCACATCAGCAGCCTCCAGGTCTTATTGAACAGGAGTCGTGTTTCCAAAACCCTTGCAGTGCCTAACGGATTGGTTAGTTGCGTTTATCCCGAAATCACTTTTGGTCTTGTTTATATACACGCTGTGGGGCCAGGGCCGATGCCAACTCTAGATAACCCTTATGGTTGCTGCCAATTGCGGCAAACCACTGACAGGTGGACCTAAGTTGTGTGCCAAGTTGGTCTCGGTCAGCCGAGATCACATCCAGCAATTGGCATGTTCCCTACCACAGTAATGGGTAACTGAAGTCCATCACAACTGAGATATAGTAAAGATAAGCAGTTTTGTTGTGACTTGTGACACATTTGTCAACGAGTTTCTAACACTTTATGTGAAACTAATAAAGAGCACATGTAGATAGAATAGTATTATAGTCAAATTACATAGCATGGACAGTGGCAGTCTCTTCCCGAGTGTAATCAAATCACACATACAGCTCCAGCAAACACGCAAATTCATTGACTAAAAGTTTGAGATACACAAATGCTCTCATAAACAGAAAACCCGCCGGCACAAGCTGCACACACCCAACCCAACTGCATACGTACGTACAATCGCCTAAACGTCCGTTTAGCCCGTTTACACACCGTTTAAACGCTACACGGTGGTACACCGTTTCCGTTTAATCGGTTGTTTTGACCGTTTAAACGGCCGTTTTCTCCGTTTAAACACCCGTTTTGCCCGAATAATGGGCTAAACGGTAGGTGACCGACTGTTTACCGTTTAGCGTTTAGGATAACACTACAACATACATTTCATTTTGTTTTGGAATTCAGAACAATTCTATATATCAAGCAAATTAATACACTCAGTCGATGTGCAACTGCAAGCCAATAAAATTCACATCATCATCAGCTAGTGCGCGGCTTCTTATTTTAACACGTTGAAGCAAATAATATAATCAAACCGAATGATCAATTTGGCCGATTCGATTGTAATGGAACCATATATCACCTGCGCAATCAACAAGGACACAGACACGAAATGCATGGTGGTCAGCACTCAACAGTGATAAACAAAGCAAAGCAACGCAAGCGATTGGCGGCACAGATAACACACCTAGCTAGCTAGCTAGTTGCACTTAATTACCTCAGGAGGGCACCCCTGACAGTTTTCGTCTTGTAGTAGCGAGAGTGGCGCATCTCAAAGAGGGAGTGGTGGTGGCCAGCATCAGCCCCGTCCCACTCTAGCGTTTCCCACACCTCCTTCTCAATCTCCACAGTCGGCTTGCTGCAGCTTGCTTGGTCATTGCCGGTGGCGACGACATCGACGACCGTTGACAGCCGGCGCATGCCCCAGCAACCGCTGATCTTGACGCTACGCAGCTTGGGTGTCAGCATCTTGACCACACATATCTGCAGCAGCAGTGGCAAGTCATGCAGGCGGATGGTGGTCAGCTTCGGGAACGTCACGCCGCGGTAGGCTATGTCCCTTCTATACCCATATGTTGTCTTCAGTATGAAGACATGCCTCAGCTCGCCGCAGTGGATGATGTGGAGGGTCTCCAAGCTCTGAAAGGAGTAGGTTCCATCAGCGTATAGCACGAAGTCCAGCCTAGGGCAGGAGCGCAGGTGCAAGTGTCGAAGATTATCGAAGGAACGGAAATCACTTTTACCCATCCAGTAGCTAGTAGGAACAGGACTCTGGCTCCAGATGCTGCGGGCCCTGAGCAGATCTGATGCCCAGAAAGTCTCCAATTGGCTGAAACCCTTTGAATCCACAGAGAATACCGCTTCTATGTTAGGGCACCGTTCTACACGGCACCACCTAACGCTGTAACCTCCAGGGAAACTACTAGCGATGGAGGCATCATGGACATGCAGGAACTCAGCATGGAACACCATAATTTCTCTACCAGCCGTGTACCTTAGTTCGCCCTCCAGGTTGTGGCTCCCTTGAACGACCTCAATGTAGCGATCTGCTGCGGATGCCGGAGGAAAAGGCTGTGGGAAATCTTGCATTGGGACGTCTCCACCCAGATCAGGGACATCCGGGTATGGGATTGCTGCTGGGACCTGATGACCAAGCCTCATGTGTTCACCGGGACTGAGTTCTTCCATCTGCTTCTCGTTGCAACTGCAGGTTCCTTCAAATTGTTGTGAACTAGCACTACTACCAATGTTCATGAATGAAGAGGTAAAATGGATGCTAAATTGGAAGTCGTTGCCGCCGCTTCCCTTCGATCGGTTCTTATGGTGAAGTATTGGGAAGTGAAGGGACCGAATGAGCCTTGCATCAACTAGAACAGCACGCAGTAGAAAGCAGGATTTCTTCTTGCCATGGCCAAGGGATGGCTGCAGAGTACGACCTCGGATCCCAGTTCGTGTATCAATGCACAGCAACTCTAAGTTAAAACGGACCTTGTCCCATGTTATTCCACGAAGATGCTCACAACCTAGTAGAAACAGTCGCTTCAGCCCTGGGACCTGCACCACCATGGTTTCAAAGTTGAGCATCTTGATTGCAGTTCCAGAGAGGTCCAGTTCCACAAGGTTTGGAAGCCCCCGCACGAACAAATTTTCTAGTCGAGTGCAGCCTTCGAGGGAGATCTTGGAGGTTTTGGCTGCTTGCTGCTGCCGGTCATCATCTGGAGAAGAAGGACGCAAATTGTCGGGGGGCAAGTCAGGGCATGGTATCCAATGCTTGGATACTGGTCCATAGCTGTCAAAGCTGAAAGATCTGAGTGAGGAAGGAAGCCCATCAGGGATAACAACAGTTTCCAGTTCTTCACAACCATCAAGAAGAAGCACTTGAAGGCTACAAGCCTTTGATAGGCTAGTTGGCAGAACTTTCACCCAAAGACTGCCAGACAGGTCCAGTATTTCCAACTTTGTCTTGTCCATAAAGGATGTGCTAATGTCTGCTAATGTCTCACTTTGTGACCTGGTAATTCTGAGCTTCTCAAGGTTAAGTAACCGCCCCTGCAAGTGAGTGTTGTCCGGCCAGCATCTGGCTCCTTCTACATGTAGCTCCCTCAGGTTAATCATGAGCTCCATCTTCTCTTGAGAAAGTATCTCATTCCAGACTGTGTAACGTAGGTCCAACACATATAGGCCACATATAGTCGCCCAATCCTCACTTCTATGACTACCTGTTGTATCATCTGAGCAATGATCCAATCCGAGGAACCGTAGGCACTGGGACACAAAGAAAGGAGGTGATGCAAAACTGAAGGTGCAATGACAGAGAATAAGCACACCAAGGTTTCTGGCATCCCTGAACAAGCTAGCTGGTAATGTGGTTGGCCCATTTTGTGTTTCAAATGCCAGGAAGAAAGAGGATGTCACTGCAGGTATAGACTGCATATGGTGTGCTTCTATATTCCTTGAGGTCACTGAAATCCAGCGGTACGGTCCCTCTTCATAGCCCCAGCCGCCCTCTTTAACAGCTCGCATATATGGAGGTCTTCTTGCTGACAACATGACCCTCGGAAATACATCATCAAGCACTGCATCATCACACTCCCATGTTATTATCTCACGGCGCAATGCGGCACTGATCTCCTTTGCAGTGTCCCCTTTGATGATTTCATCGCATATCCAATAGTTTGAAGCATGAGCAACCCAATCAAATTTGGTGGTTCTATGAAAATTGTACTGTAGGCATAGTTCATACAGACAGCAGTCCTTGACCTGTCCATGCTTCGCGTAGATGAGTAACCAGCTGCTATGGCAGCAGCCACGCAATCTAGCACATGATCATACACTTCCCAGAGTCCTGAAAAGCAATTATAGAACTCGTGTGTGTATCTAAGCTTGCCTGCTCTCTTAGACATGCTTGCCCTAGAGTTTAATGTCAGTGACGACCCTCTGCTAAATGCCCATATCATTGCATGGTTATGGAATTCCGAGAATGGAGGAATACCCATGCTGGACACATCAATCTCCTCATCGCTACCGTTAAGAAAAAGGATCAAGAATTTGCTATCCTTGAGGTTTTCATAAATCTCTGTAGCAACACCTCGTATCACATCCCTAGAGCCTTGGTCTACTCCATTGAAATCATCCTCATCTTGCTCATCAAACATCGCCATCGTTTTGTTGTCTAGTTTTATCTCCTCTGCAATGGTTCTCTGCATGGCTCTTCTACCATTCCATGCTGAGCAATCCAAGTAAACTATTCTGTCAAACCATATTTGTTCAGAAGGAGCCTCCAGATCTTCGAGAACTTTCTGTGCTATAGATCGAAGGAATGCCTTCGTCCCGAGTCCATCCCAGCCATTAAAATAGATCACTCGTACATTTGGACAAGTACGAAGGGTGTGAAGTAACGTATCCTGTTCTTCATATAAGTATTTCCCATGCATCTTTGCCTGAAGTGCAAGAATTAATATAGTGCTATAAGCAAATGGTCTAAGGAAGGCCACATTATTTCGTTACAGCTTCAACTAATTAATTCATATCATAAATGCATTATTAAGCTGGCCAAGCTTTTAAATCCATATATGTACATAACATTTTAAGTTATGACCTAACCAGCATATATAGAGCTGTTGCCTAAAAACTCATTTCTGCAGAAACAACAGTGGGACGTCTTGTTTCTGATGGTTATTTAGAACCATCTGAGGAAAGTTATCTCTAATGGCTTTAAACTGTTAGCAGCCTACGCTAACAAATGATCAAAGGGATGTCTTGTTTCTGAAGTGCAAGAATTAATATAGTAAGGAAATGATCGAAGGGAGGCCACATTGTTTCGTTACAACTTCAACTAATTAATTCATATCACAAATGCATAAGCTGGCCAACCATTTAAATCAACATATGTACATAACATTTTAACTGATATGACCAAACTAGCATAGAGCTGTTGCCTAAAAACTTGTTTATGCAGATACAACAGTGGGACATCTTGCTTCTGATGGTTATTTAGAACCATCTGAGGAAAATTATCTCTAATGGCTTTAAGCTGTTAGCAGCCTAAAGTTAAGCCACAGTTGTAGAACGCCTCTATCGCAGATTATCAATAGCTCTCCCAATACCAAATTACAAATCTAACTTAGCCCATCAACCCTTGCTCTTGCATAGGATAGAATCTTTGGAGACAAAAGTGATAAAAGTTCATTGATTTCAGTACCTACAACTAATTAAAATTGATTTTCTTTGTGCGCGTGCACTCTATCTTATTGTTCATTTGTAAACATAACACTACCTCTGTCTCAAAAATGAAGTCCTAGAGTCACTCAAAGTCAAACTATCTTAAGTTTGATCAACTTTATATGAAAGAGTAATATTAGTCTATGACATCAAACAAAGTACGTTATGAAAATATATTTCATGATGTATATAGTGATACCAATTTGGTATCATTTGGTCAAACTTAGAGTAGTTTGACTTAGAACAGACTTATTTTGAGATGGAGGGAGTACACATTAGATTCCTTGTAATCTATATCGGTTTTGATAAATTACATATTACTATACATGTTTTGTACCACAGAAGCTAAAAGGCAAGTTTTATAGGACGACGATTAGACCTGCTATGTTGTATGGTGCAGAATGTTGGCCTACGAAAAGACGACATGTTCAATAGCTAAGTGTCGCGGAAATGCGCATGTTGCGTTGGATTTGCGGTCATACAAGAAGGGATCGAGTTCGGAACGATGATATACGTGATAGATTAGGCGTAGCACCAATTGAAGAAAAGCTTGTCCAACACCGGTTGAGATGGTTTAGACATGTGCAACGGAGACCTCCAGAGACACCGGTGCGTAGTCCGGTGCGTAGTGGAATCCTAAGCCAGGATGGTAACGTGAAGAGAGGCAGAGGAAGACCGAAGTTGACTTGGGTAGAGGCAATAAAAGGAGACTTGAAAGGATGGAATATACCCAAAGACTTAGCCTTAGATAGGAGTGCTTGGAAGACAGCTATTCACGTGCCTGAACCTTGATTGCTTCTGACGGGTTTCAACTCTAGCCTACCCCAACTTGTTTGGGACTTAAAGGCTTTGTTGTTGTTGTTGTTGTTGTTGTTGTTGTTGTTTCACCATCTATATTTATATTCCCCATTGCCAATTCTTCACGTGTCTCCAATATGTGTGTTTAGCTAAAACCTCGGCTTAAATTTTGTTAGCTGTTCTTCCAACATGCGTCATGACATATGAGTTTAGATTTTGGCTTTCAAAGATAGATTTTATTAGTTTCTACTATTTTTATCCACATATTAAGTTGAAACTCTAATGCTTATTGTATATTTTTTCTTTTATCAACACTCCTTTTGTATTTTGTTAAGAAATGACCCTTGGTCTTAGACTACACTCTTAGTTACGTCAATGTCATAAAGATAATCATTCATTTCATCTTGCACTATGATACTTAAGGTGTTGAATTTTTTATAGCAAAGAATTTTATGTATTGTAGTATTTTTTTCTAAGAAAATAGAGTGCTTATAGTTTAACTACCATAGTGAATATATTATAATGTTAGAGGTCAAGATGTATACACTTTCTGAAAGTCGTTGGTGATAGCCTCGGATACCACCGCCGGTTTAAAATCAGAGGTGATAAACTTTATCGCTGCCGGATCGGTAAATAAACAGAGTTGGTAAGTCGTGAAGTTGTAGTACTTTAAAATCACGGCAGCTTACCCGTTGTTTATTTATAGATGAAGAGCCTGAGTACTACAACTTCACGACCGTAGCATATGAGATCCTAGGATTGGCTGCATGAAAAGAGTGGAATATTTTTCACAAAAACTATTTTTTGAAAACCTTTATCTTATCTTATCTTATCTTATCCCCTTTTGTTATTGTTTACCCTACATAAATTCTATCTACTTTTGTTGAAATTCTGTTCTTCTCATACTGTAAGGGAGTAGTGGCTGCCGTGATGGCCCCACTTGTAAGCGTAGTAGTAGAGTTACTGTTGTCCGTCTGTCAACAACAGCGTGGGGGGGGGCTGGCGTCTATATAAGCCGGCGAACCTTGAGAACGAAGGCATCGAATTGTAACTCAAAACCCCAACTGAATATTGAACTCGTCCTCGCGGATTCCTCGCTGCGCTCCCATTCTATCTCGATCCCCGCCTCCAATTCTTGCTATCCCACCTAAATCCGTGAGTTGTTCGTTACATTTGGTATTGAGAGCCTTACCGATTTGAGGGGAAATTTTTCTCGCTCAAATCCGCTTCGACTGGTACCGAAGAAGAAGCCGACCAAGTTTCAATTGGAAATGGCGACTTCAATCGATGACCGAAGACGACGATGGAGACGATGGCGACTCAACTTGCGGAGTCCGAGATGTGGTGAAGCGATTCGCCGGGCTTCAGCAGATGATGACCACCACGCTCGACAAACTCAACAATGCAGGCGTGGCGCATTGTAGTGGAGACGTCGATGGGATCGATGATGCGAGGTCCACGGAGACGGCGACCTAGATCCAGCAGTGGAGACCCGACCACCACCGCCGCCACCGCCTCCGCCACCGCCGATGCCCCAAAGAGCTCACGCGCGACCGCACCGCCTCGCTACGACACAGGGGGCAGCTTCCACTGGGCGTGCCACCACCTTTCTGCGCACGCGCGGCGCCCCAGTGAGTGCTCCGCCACGCCACGATGCGGTGCACGGTGGATTCGACTTGAACACCATGCCCGCGATCTCGGCGTCGAGCTCGCAATCGCCCCATGGGCACGGCCTGCGCCGCGATTACCGGGTTGTCGGGCGAGGGATCCTGGACACCCCGCCGCACCCGGTCACGGGTATGATTCCTGCCAATCCTGCTCCAGATTTCATACCGCATGATGGGGATTGCTCTGCTGTTCCTCGTTCATCCCATGGACCCAAAATGGAGTTCCCCAAATTTGATGGGGAGAATCCTAGATTGTGGCGTGATCAGTGCGTTCTGTTTTTCAAGGTCTATGGTACTCATCCGGCAATGAAGACAAGGTACGCGGCCCTCAATTTCAAAGGTGCCGCGGCAACCTGGCTGCAGATGATTGAACGTCGCGGACGAATTACAGATTGGTCGAAGTTGTGTGACTTGGTGTTCGATAAGTATGATAAAGATCAATATCAGCAGCAACTTCGTCAACTGGAGATGTTGAAGCAAACAAGTTCTGTTGCTGAATACCATGCCCAGTTTGAGAAGCTTGCTCATGGCATTCTGCTGTACAACACAGCGTATGATGATGTCTACTTCGTCAAAAGGTTCTTGGCAGGGCTTAAAGAAGAGATCGGGGCTCCAATTGCTCTGCACAGACCCAAAGACGTGGATACAGCAAGCGCCTGCAGGAGGAAGAACTCGCTATGGCCAAGGTCAAACCTGTTGGACGGGGATTCACCAAAGGTTTTGACCGCAATGGCAACACCAAGGCTGCTGACAAGACATCACAGTCTGATTCCGAGGACAAATTGGCTTCTCTGAAGCAGTTTAGGCGCAAAAATGGCCTATGTTTCAAGTGCGGAGGAAAATGGGCACCAAATCATACTTGTCCAGATCAAGTGCCGATACATGTGCTGGAAGAACTATGGGATGCTCTACAGTTGCAGGATGAGGGAGATTCAGAAGAGATTCCATCAGGTATTCAGTCTGCAGATGATACTGTGCTGACAGTGCAGTTACCCAACTCTGAAACAACAGGCCGTAGACAGACTCTGAAACTCCTTGCTCACATTGGGAAGCAACAGGTGCTAGTTCTTGTTGATTCAGGAAGCATTGGAACATTTGTCAGTGACAGGCTGGTGAAGACACTGAATCTGCCTACCGAACCCTGCCCATTGGCAACTTTCAGAGCAGCTGATGGCGGCCAGCTCCAGTGTTCTGAACGTGTGCCAGCATTACAGTGGTGAGTGCAAGGCCAATCTTTCAGATCCAATGCCCAAGTGCTGAGTCTGAAGTGCTATGATATGATTGTGGGCGAGGACTGGTTGGAAGCCGTCAGTCCAGTGTGGGTTGATTACAAGACAAAGGCCATGCGTATTACTCATCAGGGGAACCGCATTGCTCTAAAGGCCATGCGTGTGAAAGATCAGTTGGATAGATGAGGTCTCATAAAGCATGGTGGTGTTGCGTGCTACATTCAGCTGCAGGAACCCGACAATGTTAATCAATGTGCTGGACATGCAACAGTGCATTTGTACTGTACAGTCAACGAACACTGAGGAACTGTCAGAAGAAGTTCAGAAACTCATTCAGGAATTTGATAATCTTTTCAGTACCCCAACTGAGTTGCCCCCACAGCACAGTGCTGATCACCACATTTCCTTGACACCAGGAGCTCAGCCTGTTCGAGTTAGGCCTTATCACTATTCACCAATTCAGAAAACGGAGATTGAGGAGCAAGTCAAGCAGATGCTGCAGAATGGAGTAATTCGGCCGAGCTCTGAGTGCTTTCGCTTCTCCTGTATTACTGGTCCGCAAGAAGGATGGGACATGGCGTTTTTGTGTGGACTATCGTCACCTCAATGCTATGACACAGAAGAACAAGCACCCTATGCCAGTCGTTGATGAATTCAGTGGCACCAAAGTGTTCACTAAATTGGATTTTCGTTCGAGTTATCAAATTCGGATGGCCACTGGAGATGAGCATAAGACAGCTTTCCGCACTCATCAAGGATTATACGATTTCATGGTAATGCCCTTCGGTTTGACTAACGCCCCTGCTACGTTCCAAAGTTTGATGAATATCATATTTGCTGCCCTATTGCGACGTGGAGTGTTAGTATTTATGGATGACATACTGATCTATAGTGCTACTATTGAGGAACATGTTTTGTTGCTACGACAAGTCTTTGAGATTTTGTACAAACATCAGTTTTACATTAAACGCTCCAAGTGCTCGTTTGCTCAGCCATCTATAGAGTATTTGGGCCATGTAGTCTCAGCTGAAGGTGTAGCAACAGAACCAAGTAAAGTTGAAGCGGTAATGAACTGGTGTCAGCCCACAACTCTGAAACAGTTAATAGGATTCTTGGGCTTGACAGGGTACTATTGGAAGTTCATTCCACACTATGGTGTATTAGCTCGGCCATTGACTGCACTTCTGAAAAAAGGTTGCCAGTTCAAGTGGAACAATGAGGCAGATCAGACTTTCAATATTCTGAAGCAGAAATTGGTAAATGCTCCTGTGCTGGCTGTGCCTGACTTTAAGCAGTCATTTGTTTTGGAGACTGATGCTTGTGACACGGGCATTGTTGCGGTTTTGATGCAAAATGGTCATCCAGTAGCTTACTTAAGCAAGCATCTTTGTCCCCGGAATCAGACCCTCTCAGTATATGAAAAAGAATGCCTAGCAATTCTAATGGCAATTGACAAGTGGAGACCTTACTTGCAACATCAAAAGTTCCTAATTAGGACTTATCATAAGAGTCTATTACATATCACTGAGCAAAGGGTTACATCCAAGTTGCAGCACAAGGCTCTAATAAAGCTCATGGATTTGGACTATTCCATTCAGTACAAGAAGGGAATTCATAATGTGGCAGCTTATTCCTTGTCAAGGTATGACCAAAGCTCTGAGATCAGTGCTATTTCTGAATGTGTACCATCTTGGATGCAAAAGTTGAAGGAAGGTTATTTGGATCAGCCTGGGGACAGACAGTTGTTGACTGAGCTTAGTATCACTGGCTAGAACTCCAAAGGCTTTACACTGGAAGATGGTGTTATCAGGTTCAAAGGCCGGGTATGGGTGGGCACTAATGCATTAGCTCAGCAACACATTCTTCAGGCACTGCATGACAGTGGCATTGGGGGACACTCAGGAATTACAGCTACTTACATCAGAGTGAAAGCATTATCTAATCTCAAACAGACAGTGCATGATTTTGTGCAGCAATGCTCCACATGCCAGCAGGCCAAAGTTGAGCACAAGAAGATGCCTGGTTTGCTTCAACCCTTGCCAATTCCATCTCAGGCTTGGGAGGTGGTCTGCTTAGATTTTGTGGAAGGACTGCCAGTGTCTGATAGGTTCAATGCCATACTAGTGGTCATAGACAGATTCTCTAAGTATGGGCATTTTATACCTATTCATCATCCATATTCAGCATTACAGATTGCCAAGATTTATCTGGACAGTGTCTACAAATTGATGGTATGCCTAAGGCCTTAGTGTCTGACAGAGATCCTGTTTTCACAAGTGCCCTATGGCAGCAGCTGTTTAAACTTACAGACACGAAGTTACTGATGAGCTCATCCTATCATCCACAAACGGATGGGCAAACCGAACGACTGAATCAGCGTTTGGAAGGTTTCTTGAGATGCACAGTTCATTCCTGCCCAAGACAGTGGAGCAAATGGATTTCTGTTGCTGAATATATGGCATGCATCTCTACAGCCACCCTGGTAAAAGAAGCGGTAATGCTCTCTACCGAGCGTCCGGACGGGACGGACCCGCCTGCCCCGCGCCTCGCACCCCTTACGCTTCACACTGCGCTCCGCCGCACCTCGCGCCTCCCGCTCGGACTCGTGGTGTGCATATATAGCCGAGGTTCGACCTCCACGCCATGGCATCGAGCTTCATGCTGGCGTCAAACTCTGCGTCAACGAGCGTCCATTGGGGTAGCAAGTAGATGAGCACATGTTGCAACCGCATGTTTCATGCGTTTTAGATGTATGTTGCATATGTTTCATCTGGTTGTTGCAAAAGTAGATCTGGTGTTGCATATGTTGCAATGACTATGCATATATGTTGTAAGTATATGTTTCAAATGTTTTATCTGTTTCAAACATATGTTGCAAGTGTTTTATCCGGATGTTGCATATGTTGCACTGGCTGTACATGTATGTTGCAATTGTATGTTTCAAATATTTCAGTTGTTTCAAACGTATGTTATTTTATCTGGATGTTGCAAACATATGTTGTAAATGTTTCATCTGTTTCGGACGTATGTTGCAGTAAACGCTTTATGTTGCAAGTGTTTCATGAGCAGGGGTGGCATGGGGGCGCAGGTGAAGGTGGTCCCCTTGGTCGCAGCGGTCCCCACGTGCGTGGGGGAAGCGAAGCGGGCGTGGTTGAAGACACGAAGCACAAAGCTGTATCCATGGGCATGCAGCAGGTGCGGAGCACGAAGCTACATCCATGGGCAGGCAGCAACACGGAGCACGAAGCTGTATGCATGGACATGCATTAGGCGCGAAGCACAAGACGAAACGGATCACGAAGCTACATACATAGACGCCCGAGGATCATATTATTATTGTTATTGTTATTGTTGTTATTATTATTATTGAAAATGGACGGGCAGCAGACATGATGTCTAGATGTTGGACGCTAGTTTCTCCGTAAAAGAAGATAAGTTAGTAGTAAATCTTTTTTTTTCGAGAAAACAGTAGTAGTAAATCTCATGTGGTTACATGCTGCCATCAATTTATATTGGAAAAGAAATAAATAAAGGAGGGTAATGTGAAAATTTATCAAGGTCCTGCAATGCAACAGTGCGTGACTGCGTGCGAGGTGACTAGTCCAAGATCACACACTGACACACAAGTCGCTTGCGCGTGGCGGCGGCAGCCGTGCATTGGACTTTGGGTGCGCGTCGTGCGGGACACACGTGGCGTGCACTGCTGCGTCGTCGCATCCGGGCATGGGAGTCCATAGGATCTCGCAGCCGGACGGGCTGACGACTGACGAGGGCGAAGAGTGCACAGAGGCGACGACGATCAGGGTCTTGTTTAGATCACCTCCAAATTCTAAATTTTTTTATTCTCTCTTCATTACATCAATTTTTGAACACATACATAAAGCATTAAATATAGGTAAAAAAAATAACTAGTTACACAGTTTAGTTGTAAATCACGAGATGAATCTTTTGAGCCTAGTTAGTCCATGATCGGATAAAGTTTGTTAAATACAAATAAAACGTGCTACAGTATTCATGTTGCAAAAATTTACAATCTAAACGAGGCCTAGGTAGAGTCTGCCCAAGGTAGCATTGCACGTGTCCTACCATGGTCTTGAACGCCACCTCATGCGTCTGGCCACGGACTACTGCCACCACAAGTGATGGATTGCTGACGTGTGTGTGGTTTGGTGTACTACCTGCCTCCAGGGCGGCGGCAGCGGTGGCAGCACAGCAGCATTGCAGCTGGCACGGCCGCACCCGCACAAGCAGACGGCGAGTGAGGTCTGGCCGCGTGGACCAAGAACTAGATGCTGCTTAGCAGCGAAGGAAGCAGAGCAGGCCGTGTGGGGTCTACCTCTACCCCGCGCCGCGCGTCGGCTGCATCCAGCGCCAGCCGCCGCCCACCGTGTGCCGGCCGTCGCCCGTTAGCGGGACCGCATGGTACGTGTCCTCTTCGCGTTGCGTGTTGGGGATGGGACGATCTACTACTTCGCCTACCGGATGACCATGATATAGCTGTCACCCCCGCCAGGTACGTGTCCTCTTCCATCCGGCCATCTCGCTCTCCCTCCCTCCGCCCGTCCGTTCTCTCTATAAAAGTGAACCCCCGCCAGGGCAAAGCCAACGGAGACGGACTGCACAGGAGAGGGAGGGGATCGGCCGGAGCCCGGAGTGCGATCACCGACACCGAGCAGCTAGCAGATCGAGAAGAAGGCAGCACAGCAGCCATGGCTGCGAACTGCGTGGACATCCTGATCGCCATCATCCTTCCCCCGCTGGGGGTGTTCCTCAAGTTCGGGTGCGGGCACGAGTTCTGGATCTGCCTCCTCCTCACCTTCCTCGGCTACCTCCCCGGCATCATCTACGCCGTCTACGCCATCACCAAGTAGTACTACTACTATTACTAGCTTATTGGCTACGACTGTTCCTTGCTTGCTCGCCGATATGTATGTATGGATGCCGATTCCAATGTATACCTGCTAGACTGCTAGTAGTAGATAGGTAGCACC